TCAAATTTTTCTGATATCATCCCAAATAAAAACAGTCCACGTTTGAAAGCTACATGTTGCCCTATTATCTTTTCTAGCCATCTGTGTATGGGTGGAAATTTCTGTTGCTTAAGCGAGACGGTTGTTAGGTTGAATTTTGCTCTATTCTACGACCTTCCTTGCCACCGTCGTTACGGGAATCGTTCCGGCTACGAAGTTAGCAACCTGGTTGTTAAGTGAATCCGTGTTCCTCTATTGACTTCACTTGTCAGATGGTCGCAAAAGTAAATCCCTTGACCCCTGGGACATTCCGACCGTCATAAAAATGAGTCGGCTGCCAAACTTTTGAATTTTGATGGCGTAACCTTGGGGATGCTACCACGGCATGAAAAAACAGCCCTAAGTCACTTTTTCCAGGACCGTTGTAACTTTGAAAGGTCACTAAACGAACAGGTGTAAGTCAAGATTACCTGTACAGGTTGCCCTTGACTTAGCGGTCCATTTAGTGACGGTGAAAAAGGTGACTTAATGACCATTTTTCACACTTACGACCTTTGTGGCATCCGCATGATCATGTCATCAAAATTCAGAGGCTTCAGAGGCGATTGGCTCATACTTACGACCGTCACTGTGTCGCAGGATCACATGATCCCCTTTTGCGACCTTCTGAGAAGCAAAAATCAGTGGGGAAGCCAGATTCACTTAAGAACCATGTTACTAACTTACCAACTGCAGTGATTCACTTAATAACTATGGTAAGAAAGGTCGGAAAAACTCACTGCACCAACGTCTCACTTAACGACAGAAATGTTGGGCTTAGTTGTGGTCATAAGTCAAGGATTACTGTAACCGCTGCCTTCTTAGCCCAAGGACCCTGAGTTTGCACATAGGCCTTAGGCAAGGAACTCTGGTTATTTTGGAAATCAAAAGTATATATTGTCTGTATGTTTGCTGACATTATTACAATAATCTTTTAAGTTGTATTTGCTTATGCATATATTTAGAAATATGATAATAAATATTTGGAGTTTTCCTGGTTAGGGTTTTGTTTCTACGAAGTGATTTTTTTTTTTAGCGGAATAGAAACATAAAGATGCCGTAAGAATCCAAATTTGATGAAAAATGTTTGCACTGAGACATCAGCTAAAGTATAAGGCTAATAAATACCGAGTCTTGTGAACAGTAGGTTGTATTTCTTGTGCATAGCAGGTTTCTGTTGGAATGGTTAGGTTTTGATTTAAACCGTGTGATTTAAGGTGCATCTATTCACATTTTGGCAATTGGGACTGGAAAATCTTGAATTATTTCAGATATATGCTTCCAGTGTCCTTGGGGACTGGAGCGAGTTATAAGTAGACCAATAAATAAACTTCACTGAAGTTTTTAACCCCTCAGTAACAGGCGTTTCCATTGTTCCATGGTTACCCTATCTCTGAAATATTTGCTAAGTGTAGATAACAATATATCTAACAGCAAATGCACAATTTGTGGTTATTCGATCGCTGTATGCCATCCAGAATCGTGTTTTGTGATATGGGTTTATATAAATTGGATTAATAAATGGCAAATAACGGTGTCTTAAGGTAATAAAAAAGCATTAAAAGTACATTCATGGGCATCCTAAGAGGTGACGCCAGGGACTGTGTACTGACTAATACCTGTATAGCCTGGGGAAAATTTTGAAAGTAATCATAATCTTTTTTCTTTTTTGTTGGAACATGTTACTGTGGTGATTTCTGGTAGTTTCCTTTCACCCTGCAGACTCCAGATTTAATAACCCGAAGCTTTAAGATTCCTGGTGAGGTCACCGTGATTACCTGGTTGTACAGGCAATCCTTGACTAACAACCACAATTGAGCCCGGACTTTTCAGTTGCTAAGTGAGACAGTTCATTAAGTGAGCTCTGCTCACATTTTACAACCTCTCTTGCCCCGGTTCTTAGGCGAATCACCGCAGCTGTTAAGTTAGTAACTTGGGTTGTTAAGCGAATCTCCCATTGACTTGGCTCGTCAACGTGACCCCGGGAATGCTGCAACCGTCATAAGTACATGCCAGTTGCCAAGCCTCTGAATTTTGATCATGTGATCATGGGGGATGCTGCGATGGTCCTAAGGGTGAAAAATGATCCTAAGTCACATTTGCCATCGTAACTTTGAACTTTCATTAAATGAACCGTCGTAAGTCGAGGACTGTCTGTGATTGGGAAGGCGATATTGAGCATTTTTTTAAAAAAAATCTTTCTTGCTGCAGACTTTAGGCAGCCAATAATATTTTTATGGCCGCTGATAATGGCGGGCTGCCAGGTGACCGTTGGAACGTGATGTTTTCAGCATCTCTGCTGCCATCTTACCTAGCAGGCTTTATATATTTTTACAATTTGCCCAGTTTAAGTTCACGGACGCCGTTTTTCTACAGCTAAAGATGGATGGAGGCAAGCTGTTTGAATACGGGCAGTCCATTTAGTGTCCATTTGAAGTAACAACAGAATTGGAAAAAAGAATAGAATAGAATAAGGAATAGAATAGAATAAGGAATAAAATAGAATAAGGAATAAAATAGAATAAGGAATAGAATAGAATAATGAATAGAATAGGAATAGAATAGAATAAGGAATAGAGTAGAATAGAGTAGAATAGAGTAGAATAGAGTAGAATAGAATAGAATAGAATAGAATAGGGAATAGAGTAGAGTAGAATAGCATAGAATAGAATAGAATAGAATAGAATAGAATAGAATAGAATAGAATAGAATAGAATAGAATAGAATTCTTTATTGGCCAAGTGTGATTGAACACACAAGGAATTTGTATTCAGTGCATAAGCTCTCAGCGTACATAAAAAATACATTCATCAAGAATCATAAGATACAACACAGTGATAGTTACAGGATACTAAATAAGCAATCAAATCATACTAGGAAGCTAAATAAAACGATATAAATCATAAAGATACAAGCAACAAGATTATAATCATAAGTAGGAGAACAGGTGCCGTGATTCACTTAACAACTGTGACAGAGGGCATAAAATGGGGGCAGAGCTCACTTAATGAACTGTCTCGCTTAACGACAACCATGTTGGGCTCAATCGTCGTAAGTCGAGGACAGCCTGCCTATCAATAGCATGTTCAACCTAGGTTAGGTAAAATTGGCAGGCTGGGCTCCGAGCTCTATAATTGCTTAATCATCAGTGAGGGAAACCATCAAGCAAAAACTAATTTATACAGGCAGTCCGTAACTTATAACAGTTTGTTTCATGACCGTTCGAATTTACCTGGTTAGAGAAAATGATAAAGCAACACATAGATGTAAAGCCAGAAATATTTTTGTTAGGTGTATTACCAGAAAACTATAATAAAGGGATTACATATTTAATAATACATGTGCTGACGGCAGCCAGAATTGTATTTGCACTATATTGTAAAAATGGGGATGTACCTACAGATGAAAGTATAATTAGAAAGACATTAGACATTTGCGGAGATGGATAGGTTGACATTAATAATAAAAGCTAAGGAAGAAACAGAATATTTTTTCAACATGGGATTTGTTTTATCAATGGTTAGATAAAAGAGGTAGAAATTAGAAGATGAAACATTCCTGATATGTATAAGTAAAGGATGCAAAAATTGGATTATACATTATCATCATCATTACCAGTATTATTATTACATTGTATAAGTAAAGGGATCCAGACTATGCACTGTTCACTAAGCACTTTTGTACTTTTTAAAAAAAGTATAAATAAAAATAAATTACAACAGCATTGAAAAAAAGTGAGTTGGGACCATTTTTCACAATTAACGACCATTTGCCATAACCCCCAGGGTCGCATGACCAAAAATTTGGGCATTGGGCAACTGACTCATATTTATGATGGTTGAGTTTGCCAAGTGATACGTGTCCGTTCCCAAGCAGCTGAATTTTTATCACATGGCCACGGGGATGCCGCCAGCTGTCATAAGTGTGAAAAACGATCACAAGTCATTTTTTTTTCAGTGCCGTTGTAACTTTGAACGGTCACTAAATGAACTGTTGTAAGTCAGGGACTACCTGTACACTGAGAGCTTCTGCGCCGAAGACACGTTCCTTGTGCATCTAGTCTAATAGAAATTTCTATTTCTATTTCAGTTTAGAGCAGGAATCAGCAAACTTCTGGCTTGTAGGAAAGACTTCAGTGGGGGGGTTTTTTGGGGTGTTTTTGTTCCCCTAAACAAGAGTTGTCCGACCTGTTTTGGGGCAGGAACAAAACTCAACCCTTACTTTGGTCTGGAATTGGGGGGGAGGAGAGTAATTTGACTCTTTGATTTGTTCCCGACCTAAAAGCGCTATTCAGGAAAAGCGAGAGTTTTGCCACCGCATAACCCAGAAGGGAAAACAAACAAGCACCCACAAATCACAGCACAGGCAACGTTTTTACTCGTGCATCAGAACGAAATGACATTTGCAGGAAATCAGAATCCGAATTGAGCTGGAAGGGACCTTGGAGGTGGTCTAGTCCAACCCCCTGCTCAAACAGGAGAACCTAGTCCAGCTCAGACAAATGGTTGTCCAATCTCTTCTTTAAAACTTCCAGTGTTGGAGCACCCATAACTTCTGCAGGAAAGTTGTTCCACTGATTGATTGTTCTCGCTATTAGGAAGTTTCTCCTTAATTCCAGGTTGCTTTTCTTGATTAGTTTCCACCCATTGCTTCTTGTCGTGTCCTCTGGTGCTTTGGAAAATAAGTTGGCCCCCTTTTCCTTGGGTCAGCCCTTCAAATATTGGAAGACTGCTATATCACAAGAGCTAAAATGGACACCTAGCATCAAAAACGTCATCAAAAAAGCACAACAAAGAATGTTCTTTCTGCGCCAACTCAGGAAGCTCAAACTGCCCAAGGAGCTGCTGATCCAGTTCTACCGAGGAAGGATGGAGTCTGTCCTCTGCACCTCTATCACTGTCTGGTTTGGTTCTGCAACCCAACAAGACAGACACAGACTCCAGAGGGTAATTAGGACTGCAGAAAAAACAATTACTACCAACCTGCCTTCCATGGAGGACCTGTATGCAGTACAAGTCAAAAAGAGGGCTGTGAAAATATCTACAGACTCCTCACATCTGGACATAAACTGTTTTAACTCCTTCCCTCGAAACGATGCTATATAGAGCACTGCACACCAGAACAACCCCGAAAGTCATCACTCTGCTAAAAAAATAATTCCCTCAACACTGTTCAACTATTACAAAGTCTGCACTACTAATCTTCTCATCACTCCTTATCACCTATCCCCTCTCACCTGTGACTGTATGACTGTAACTTTGTCGCTTGTATCCTTACAATCTATATTGACTGTCTCCTAGTATGGTTTGATTGCTTATTGTACCCTATGACTGTCATTGTGTCGTACCTGATGATTCTTGACTCTTGATGAATGTATCTTTCTTTTATGTATACTGAGAGTATTTACACCAAGACAAATTCCTTGTGTGTCCAATCACACTTGGCCAATAAAGTATTCTGTCTGTCTAATCATATCACCCCTGGTCCTTCGTTTCTCTAGACTGGCCAAACCCAAATTCTGCAATCGTTCTTTATGTGTTTTAGTCCAGGGGTCCCCAACCGCCGGTCCGCGGACCGGTACCGGTCCGCGGAACAAGTCTTACCGGGCCGCTGGTTGCTGGGCGCCGCCATCTTTTTTTGATAAAAAAGTGCTTCCGGTGAGCTTTTCCGGGTAGAAAGCTCACCGGAAGCACTTTTTCATCAAAAAAAGATGGCGGCGCCCAGTTGATGCCGGTACCGGGCCGCGGCGCCCAGCTGATGCCGGTACCGGGCCGCGGCATAAAAAAGGTTGGGGATCACTGTTTTAGTCTCCAGGCCTTTAATCATCTTAGCTGCTGCTCTTTGCACCTTTTCCAAAGTCTTTCTCAACATCTTTTTTGTAATGTGGTAACCAAAACTGGATGCATTTTTTCAAATGTATACCATTAATTTAAAAAAAAACAACCTGCCGGATTTTGTAGTAAGTTGGATAAGTATTTTCGCACGCCACTCTTTTATAAACAAGGGTATTAACATACATACCTCTTTTTTATTTTGGTATTTTATTGGCAGAAAGGAAGGATAGCATTATCGTTGGATCAGGTTTCAGAAAAA